CTCTTTTGAAAGCTAACACTTTAGGCTATACTCCAGAGGAAAATTTTCATGAGTTTTGATGTGTCTTCTAAGAGTTATAGATGAACAATAAGACAAAATATTTCTGATCGACCACTGTTGCACACCAAATTTGTTTTGGGTGTTGTGAGGTCATAAGGTCATATTTTCTCATGATTCCACTTGGGTTTGAAAACTAATACACTAAATATTATTGAGGAAAAATATTAATGCTTATTGGGTCAATACACAACCAGATATGGTCGTTCCAAACTCATGCAATGAATCTGTCCAGGAGAAAAGTCATTCTTTTATGCAAAAATGGATTTTTATGTATCACAATTTCCAAAAATGATGATTTTATGGGAGAAGATCACTCTACTATTCAATATTAAAGTAAGAATATAAAATACACTATTCTTGGTAACAAAAATGAAAGAGAACTCATATTCCATGAGAGACACAAAAATGCAAGAAATGAAGGGTTTTTCTTGCTTTTCAAAAGTTTTAGATGGTTAGGTCACGTATTTTTACCATATTAAGAACATTTTTCATGTCTTTGGTGTAAAATCTACCCTTAAAACTTAGAATGAAGAACACCTCTCCTTTGCAAACTTAAAAGTATGAAAATGACWAGAAAATGGCACTAAAAGTGCATAAAATGAAGTCAAAACACTAACAAGTTCTTACCTTTGATTAAAAGAAGATGATTTCTTCAAGTTTTGCTTCTTGAATCCCTTTTGTTTTCTATGAAAGGGCTGAATTTTTCTTGAAGAAGAAGATGGAGGGAGAGAGTAAGGAGATGAAAGGTTGAGAGATGAATGAGAAATGAGTGTTTTAAAATTTCAAAAATGTACTTATATGTAGAGGAGAGGGGGGCCGGCCATTAGGTGGGCCTATGGGTCTCTCTCTATTTATTTTTATTTTTTAGTAAAAATTTAGCCCATAATTTAATAAGTTGGGTACTTTTGTGAGAAATTGAGAAAAATGCCCAAATTCTTATTTTATAAGATAAATAAATTCTTTAAATATAATTTTTAAGTAAAAAAATATTTAAAATATGTAGACTCTATATTTTATGCAAGTTTTAAAAGTTATTTGGAGTACTTGGCATTTTATAAGACGATCCGGTTCATTACGGGTCGAAACAGTGTTTTCTACGCAACCTACCAGGATTTCTAACTACTTAAGCTCTAATCGCTCTACTTGAGTGTTAATAATATTTCTAAAGTGTTGTCTAACTACTAACCTGGTATTTAAATTTCTGGATGTCACACCGATGAAGAGAAATTCGCCCAAAACTTGTGTTATCTAATTATGGTATTTCACTAATATTATTTAATGAGTTTTAAACTATTTTATAATGCAAAAAGAGCATGTTTGTATCTTTTAAATAAGAATTATGAACTGGGAAAAGATATTGATATTTTCTTTCAAGACGTGTGTAACATAAGTCTGTTTTGAAAGAAATATTGATTTTAAGAAATGTTTCTCCATGACGTGAGTGACATAAGTCTGTTCTGGCATGAAACTATGTTTTAATTGTTTCTCCAGGATGTGTGTGACGTAAGTCTGTTCTGGCATGAAACTATGGTTTAAATGTTTCTCCAGGACGTGTGTGACGTAAGTCTGTTCTGCCATGAAACTATGTTTTAAATGTTCCTTCAAAACATGTATGACGTAACTCTGTTCTTATTTGAAATCATGTTTAAGGTGGAAACAAGTGTAGCATATCAAGGAGAGGTGTACCTGTGGATATAAGGGAGACAATTGTGGGTGTGATTAATATTATAACTCTTGTTATTATTACCATAACATGCGATAATTCTAAAACAGCATTTCTCTGTGACTTGATGACTTAGAGGTATCACTCTTATTGAGATAATCACATTGATGTTATTGAGAAGGGAAAAACGATTTATAAACAGAGGCATTAACTGCTGATGATTTCAAATGGTTTTGATGAAATCTGATATTTGAGAAGACACATAGGAGCTCTGGTTGATCTTTAAGATGGACCAGAGGACCTCTGGTTGTGTGGAAAATCTTTCAAGTATTTCAGGAAATTTTATGACCCAGAGGCTTTATTTGTACTATACAGAGGTTATGTGTTAGAAAAGATTATGTGTCCTAGCTCTATATCTGAAGTCTGTCTTTTAAAACTAAATCTTTTATAAGTCAAATCTTTTTAAATATCTCTTATTAATGAGATAAAGCACTAGAGGAGTCATGGTTGTAGTTTTATTAATATATTTTTAAATATAATGTTAGTCTTTTTGGATAAGAGACACTTGTCCAAAGGATCTCTGATTGAGTTAAGGGTCATTTACCAAACGTTTACCCGAGTAAACGCTTATCAAGTGACATTACCTTATCGGATGAATATTATAAGGACCAAAAATCTTACCCGGTAAGAGGGAGACAAGAACTCAGAGTCTTACCTAGTGAGTGAGGGCAACGACTCTTACCATGGTAAGCGCTTACCGGGTAAATTGTTGCATATGATGCCGTATTGGTGGACTAAAGTCTTACCCGGCAAGTAAGTGGTAGTGTTAAATTTTACCGGTAAGCACTTACCGAGTATTTATTTGGTAAACGGCCCCTTAGTCTTGTAATATTGGAATGAGTACATAGGAGCTCTGACTTGTTGAGCCAGAGGATCTCTGGCCCGTTGAGCCAGAGGAGTTTTATGACCTTGTGTTCTGTAAGAAATGCAGATTTCAGGAAGTGTGTATTTGTGTTATGAGTATCTGTTTGTTTTATAGTTTAAGTAGCAAGCAGATTGGCATACTTTTACTTAAATTTATTTATTTATTTGCAAAAGATGTTTTAAACAGGATTTGATGATCTTCACTAGGGGTGCTCACGGCCCGGGTTGATCGATTTGGAACCGTTTTAACAACCCAACCCAATGTTGGCAGTTTGAAAATTTTCAATCCAGCCCAACCCAAACAAAAGTTCAACCCAACCCAACCCGTTCGGGTTGATCGGGTTGTGTTTAAACAATGTAAAATCACATAAAAATAAAGGAAACTTTTCTTTAAAATATGACCGACCATTCAAGATAATATGCAAGTTCATCAAATATTTAGATATTACAATAAAAATGTTTAAACCAAATGATAATACATCAATCAACAACAATAGTTTTAGACGTTTCCAACCCCGATGCTTTCGCTTTCTTGACGTTGAGGTTGGTCATGTCACGATTGTCATCTACAATTCAAAGCTAAAGTTAAGGTTGGGTTCATCGGGTTGTCAGGTTGGTCGGGTTTTTTTGGGCCTGACCCGATTCCAACCCAATAAGGTCGGGTTGGCTAATTTTTTTATCGATCATGCATCAGGTTACCTCGGGTTGGGTTGTTTTTTAAAAATTCGGGTTGGGTTGGTCGGGTTCATCGGGTTTTTGAGCATCCCTAATCTTCACCCTGTAATTGCAAAGAAGGGATTTTTTCACTAGACCTTCCGGTCTAACCCTCATTTTGTATTTTAAAAATGTGCATTGCAGGAACAGCACGATCTCGGGATATCAAGGGAAAAAGAAAAATATGATTACTTTTATTATGTGTTTATCTGTCTTTTGAAGATCAATGCTATTTTGGAGTTTTATCAACAATTTGCTTGTGTAGAGGGAGATCCGGTATTTTCTGAATCCTTATCTAAGAATTTACAAAAAAAAATTCTTTCAACAAAGATGTGAATTGGGAGGGATTGGTCGATGAAATATGAATCGGAGACTGAACCTTGATATACCCCAGAACAATACATTTTTGTTACCGCGAGATATATTGGCAGCCGCGGATCGTTTGATTCGAATAAAATTTGGAACGGGTACACTTGATGATATGAATCATTTGAATGAAATTTGAACTAGAAGATCTGAAAGAACGGCTCGTCTAGAGTCTGAAGAAAGGGAAGAGTCACCTGTTAATCTTCCAACTATCACATCCAGAAATAGAGGTCGAGGAAGACCGGGGACGAGGTAGAGGAAGAAGTCAGTCTCAGGGAAGGGGTAATCTGTTACTTGTTATATTTTGAAGATTGATGTTGACATACATGTGATAGTACAAGGATATTCTTTTGGAATTTTTCAGTTGTAAATTATGTATATAGAATCCTTGTACTAGTGAGATTTTGTGGTGTAAATTATATTTGTTTTATATGACATTCATGACATTATGTTTTTTTAATATATTTAGTTTTGGGTTGAAGATAATATAAAAAACACATTTCATATAAAAAATAAATTATTGTTTTGACAACATGTTATATTTAATCACATTAAATATCAACAAAATTCAAAGAAAAAATGATAAAGAAAACGTTGATGGCCCTCTTTTGATGCATTATCCAACATGTATCCCTCGAATTGTGATGTAATGGTTATAAGGTATAGGAAATGTAGTAACAATCTCATCTTTTTAGAGTTCAAGTGCAATGACTACAGATGATTCGTGGTCATCTAAGGGATTAGTAGGTACACATAAACTGCCCCGAAAACCCGGTATAAATAGGACTTACTAGGTAAGAGTCGCTTATCAAAAATCAACCAAGTAAGATTTTAATTGCATATGATCTAGGATTCGGTATAAGTAAGAATTTGGGTTCAATTATGGCGTGTGAAATTTGAAGACCATATTCATCAGCCAAAAGCGTATAAATTTGTTCGACTCTTAAAGGGAAAAGCTTCTAATATAAATCTTCTGGATTTATTGGCCATTTACCATATGTTTACCGGGCAAACATTCTTTGATAAGAGTCGGCCATCAAAATTGATGGTTGGTAAGCAATTCTTACTCGGTAATTCCTAACCGGTTAAATGCTACTTATTAGATAAGATTCTCGGTTATTTTTTATAGTTCTTTGTCATGTTCACTTGGTAATATAAACAACTATTCCGTAAACGTTTTAAATGAGTCAACTAAATGTTACATATATATAGAAAATAAGATGACTAAATATATACAATAACTCATCTAATTTAATCACTATTTAAAATTTAAACAAAAAACAAACACTATTTAATAATTAAACGAATAAATCATTAAACTAATCCTAGGAAAAACAAAAACAAACATTTGATCCAACTACTGGATGGAGTTGATCAAACAAATACATGATGAAAGTGTTATGTTACATATTTGAGTTTTCACAACAAGAACAACATTTTCTTACAGAATAATCACACAATCACAAAAACTAGAACACTATCAACCAACAAATCATTTTCAAACAAAGTTTACTACACATTAAACATCTTGAGTTTGAGCATAAGCATCCAATCCAGGCCTCAAATCGTACGATGCCCCCCCATCATCCAACCGTTCATCGTCAAGTTTGTCGGGATTGAGACTTGGAGGGATGAAGGATTTGAAGATAAGATCCATGTTTGGAGTCTCCTTTAGGTCATGGCTCGCAACCTCTATACCCGTGGTTTGGAAAAACCCATAGAATTTCTTGCTACAAACGAAGGCGAAGAGGAGGGAGAATATTGGAAGTGGAATGATTAGCGGGCTGTAGATGAACTCCTTTATTGAGAAATACCCGACCATTGTTATTTGGAATAGGATTAACGCGCCCAAGATGCGCACGTGCAAATGGGGCCACATCTTTCCGTAACTCTCATATTTTGGGACGTAGACTTTGAGGATCTGTAAAGAAACGGTAACTTGATTATGAAGAGAAGACGCACAATCATATATGGCTATTTAGCTTAATAACCCAATTGCATATCACATGTGATTGAGAATAGTAAAAATAGTGGTTTCGCATTCTTGTAAATGCAAGTGTTCTATTTTGAACCCGACTATATATACAATAAAAAAACATGAAAACTACCCAAGTTGCCCGCATGTAAAATCACATGTGATTTGATCGTTTTCTTACTCTTATTTTGATTGTGTTCTCATTTGATCCTCCTTCCCTCTCTCTCTATAAATATATTATATGTAACTAACCAAATTAAACCAAATTAAACCAAACAAATCCAATATCTCATATGGAGAGTAGGGTCTATGAGGGGTAAAGATACACACACATATCTATGTATCTATGTAGAATCAGGATCGTGTAGGATTGTATTCTTTCTTATGAACCGTAGGAACTACTTCATTAGCGTAAGTTCACATAACCTCCGCTGCTAAGTGGTGACCGTTTGAACTACTCCGTTAGCGTAAGTTCACATAACCTCCGCTAACTAAGTGAAATTTTGAATCCCTATTGGAACCCAATGCAATACACACACACATATATACTTGAACTACTACCAGGCCCCAATCCTCTATAGACATAGATATATAAGGGTGAGATCGGGATAGAATCTCAAAATAAAAAATAACTGAAGAACCACCATAAAACAAATGAAAAAAAATTATATTAATATGGATGTCAAATTAAAGATACTAAAATGCTTGTTTTTTTATGTGATTTGTTTTGCTCCAATTTTGGTTATATTTCGCCCACTTCCGTTTTGAACAATAGGGGGATGTTTTTATTTAGAAAAAGATGGTTATAACCACATCCGTTAGATCATCTTAATCTAACGGTTTGGATGGGTTCTTCCATTCTTCTTTTTCAAGGATTCTCTCCGCATCTTTTACATACATATATAGTTTGTGTGTGTGTGTGTGTTGGGGGACGGAAGATAGGACAAAAACAGGAATCATAATGGTCTTACCTGATTCCGAAAGACGAGCCATCCTAGGCCGAAGTATATTGCACCAAAAGGAATGATGAGAGGAGCAATGACGGAGTAACAAATGACAATTGTGAGAATAAGCAAATCAGTAGGAACTTTGGTTGCATATCCAAGTTCTGCAGGTAACCAAGCTTCTTTCAAGTCTGCTTCTGTCTTACACAGATACTTCCTCTTGAGATGGAATATGATTAAAGGAACTATTCTCGATAGCTCAAGCCCATAACCAACAAAGAACCTGAGATTCGAAACAGTATAGATTAACCGGCATATTGCATATTTTCTCATCCGATTGTTTAATAACGGGATAATTGTATGAAAATGCAAATTTTGTGTAACACACTTACTTAACCTCCATTTGGTACGAGATGTTATATCTCAAACATTAATAACAAATGCGTGTTACACAAAATAGGAATCGGACGAAAATACGCTGCATTTTCATTCATTCTCAGTGTAAGCTAGATACATAAATGTTTGAGATACCAAAATAGGAATGAATGTAAACTAGGTACCTAAATACTTGAGATGTCACTCTGAGGTACCAAAATGATGGTTTTGAAAGTATGTTACACAAAATACAAATGAATGTAAACTTAGGTGCCTAAATATTTGAGATGTCACATCTAAGGTACCAAAAAGATGATTTTGAAAGTATGCTACACAAAACATGAATGGATGTAAACTAGGTAACTAAATGTTTGAGATGTAACATTTGAGGTACCAAAACGTTTTGAAAGTGCACTGCACAAAATAGGAATTGAACTAAACTACGTTGTATTTTCATTCAATTTGCCGTTTAATAATAGTTCTAAAAGGTATTAACTTGAAGCTTACTTGAGAGCCACGAAAGTCAGAAAGAAAGTAGCGTTTCCAGGAAGGCTTGAAGCCAGCATCTGAATGAAGGAGTTTGGTTTGTCCTCGATTGCTTTTAGAGAGTCGAAAAGAGTTCCACCGATGGTGACACCAATAAACACATTAAGCACAGAGAAATAAAAATATTTCCCCGATGCAGCTCTCACAGCATGGCTCTCAGACGGAATCCCCTCAGCCTTGGATAGAAACAGAAGGAATTTAGGCAGCAAAGCCAGAAAAACGATAAGTGCAATCTGAGGAAGATAAGCTTCCAAGACTGTTCTAATTTCGGCCTGATCCACAACTGGCTTCAAAAAGGGGGCCAACTTCTTCAGATTTGCTAGAGTTGTCAAAGCCGAAATCAGCCCAATGGGGATCATATAAAAGCATATCGTCAAGAAAACAATTAAGTACACAACATATTGTCGTATCTCCCGCGCATAATAAGTTTTAGAAAGATTAGTCCATAATAATTGTCGTGATTCAGGAGCATTCATGACCGTCCATGTGTCGACAATCTGGGAATGCACGCACTGACCTGCAGCAGCCGCAGTTGTTCTGTTATTAAAGAAAACCAGGGCTGATGCTAGTTGCTTTTCTCTAAGAGTCTCTTTCTGTGCAGCCTCCAGTTTTGGAGTTAACTCGTGAATTTTCTCATTACAGTAATCAATCGTATCCACTTCTTTACCAAGAAGACCAAGAAAACCAAGTCGGTGAGTTGGTCTCACTCCTTGAGGGTTTGGCTCTTTTTTTGAGTCCGAATATATGCTCTCAGCTCGTCTCACCTTTTTTTTACACGCTTCCAACTCTTCGTAGATTTTGTTGACCTCTTTGTTATCTGTGACCACCATTGACTTGTAATATGTTTCAGGATACATTGATTTGAAGTATGTGTCAACTTGCTCATTTCTAGAGTAACCTTCGGATGAATAAGGTATGTCTCTGACCAAAATAGCAAATTGTTCGGGTTTCACTTCAGGAGACTTCAATGCTGTAGCTCTCAGATCGGAAACGTGTTTGTATGCTCTCCACAAAAGGAAATATGAAACAAACGAAACCCAATAGCAAGATGCCATGAAAGCCCATAACCGTGCGCTTCTGTTCTATAACCAAAAGTTTGAACCAACAAGGGGGTTTTAAGTAAAAGCAAGTAGATATCAATGATCAATTTCAGTGATTCAAAGGAGAAAAGCAAAACTAGTTATAAACTAACATTGAGATGTGCCATTGATAGCTTGTCGAGATCATCGAAAGCATTTTTCCCAGTAGAATCCACAATACCGGCGTTACGTTCAGTGATGGCAATTGGCAAAAGCAGTGGTAGCAATACAATGCCTGATAGAACAAATATACCGAATACTGGAAAAGAAAGAAGTAATGAAACTATAAGAACATTTAGATACATAAACGTCATGGTCATAAAAAAAAATGCAATACTGCCTTGAAATCAAGCTTATTGTTTCCCAGAGTTTCAACAGTTCAACACCAACATATATTAGAACAATTTGAAATAATAAAGAGAGCAAATTACGGATTTGGTGGTCATTGTGTTTTGATGTTTTTTTACTAGGATCCCTTTACTATGTTCATTATGGATTTTTGTCTCTGGTGTTGAATTTGTCACGACTATGGTCCATCTGACAAACACCATCAAAAAAATCCGTTTAATCAATGTGTGTGTTGTAGCGCGATGGAAAGTGATTGGGGATAACGGTCCGGACTCCCAATCTCCATCTGGGTCGCTCATTTATGCAATATGTATATAAGGGTGTATATAACACTTAATATTACATATGTATATGTATACATATACTAGTTTTTAAGAGGAAAAAGACAAAAGAAGAATGTATAAAAAGACCAAAATGCTCCATCATCCATGACTTAGCAAAGTTTTTTCAACGGTGTCAATCAGAGATATCATGATCGTGACAAATTGAATACCACATGTACCATATCCATAATAAACATAGTAGAGGGGCCTTCGTCATAATAAACATCAAAACACAGGGACCAAATCGATAATTCACTCTAACAAAGAACTCAAACATGAATAACTGATGTGATTTAACCAAATTAGGTATAAGTTTCACAAAATTGCCCAAGAAAGACCCAAATTTCTTGATAAAATATGCCAAGATTCCGCTGAATTCAATCACCATCACAGTTGTTTCTGGCTTTCTGCATAGTAGTACTCCGTACGTCGATTAATGCAGTTCAGATTAGGGTTTGAACTTGGTGTTTGAACTAAATTAGGGTTTAATTTTGGTTTTAGGACTCTGATTCAGCACGTATTCCAACAATTTTTACAGGTTTCTGCAACAATCTTCAAAACTAAAAAAGGAAAAAAAGTTAAGGAAAAGTAATGCACAGTTCAATTAAAAATTTCGACTTAATCCAAAACGGAAACTTGCTTTCTAAACCAGATTAAATAATTCTAAAAGTTGTTAACGTCAAATCAATAGAAGCCTAACGTGCAAAATCTAACAGAAATCTAAAATGTATAGGAAGAGATAAAGGGATATGACGAACCAGTGCTCAAGAAGACGAAGAAAACAGCAGAATCGACACCGGACATAGCGATAACATCTTGCTCGGAGGAAGATAAAGCTTCTCGGATCCAAGCAAACGGGTTACGCGTCTTGGACCTGCTTCCTTCCCACGGATCCATACCTTTAAGGATCCGATTCGGATAATAGACAACGGCGTTCCCTGGTTTCGTCGATAACCAAGCGAACAAAATCATCAGAATCACGAAGATGATGAACGAAGTAGACAATGAAGTGAGAAACGAACTAAAATCCATTTCTCCCTTCCCCTATAAACACACACTAATTCTCTCTTTCTATCACTCAAAAACACACTTCAATAGCATCCAATCTGGTGAACGAAAAAGGATGAGTGAAGAACAGTTGGAATAATGGGTTAGGAAGAGAGCATTGAAAGCAGAGACAAGTTACCGTTGGATAACGGAAAGAGAAACAAGCTGTAGTATAAATAAAGAAGGTATACGTAAAGGTCCACATGTGCATCCATGGCTGCATTCGCATTGATTGTGGAGCTAAAATATCTTTGTTCCCTTTTCGTAATTAACTTCGTCGGCAATAGATATTATTTCTAGGACAAATTACGTGTAAGAGATGCCTATTTTTGTTTTAATTTTTTTTTAATTTAAAGAGCAGCTGACTAATGTTTAGGGGTTGGGATTGCTTATAAAAACAATTTATTGACAGGGCTGGCCCTGGCCACGTGCAGCCCGTGCAGCCGCACAAGTCATCAAAGCCTAAAGGGGCATCAAGTTATCATTTATTACTAGTTTTTGGTTTAATAATTTGACAACTAAGTTTTAACTATAAAAACGGGCCTAAGACCTAGTAGTGGTGAATACTGAATGCACAACGTTGGAAAAAGTTGGAAAAGTTTTTGTTTGTATAAAGTTGTCTGTATGAATTAATCTATTTGTATAGGTTGGAAAAGTTTTTGTTCGGAAGAGTCTTTTCACATATGTCTGAAGCGTTTTTTTTAGTTGGAAAGGACATGTTTGAAAAAAAAAACTTGGCTTTCTATATACAGCTCTCCCTATAAGTTTACTGGATAAGTCACTTTCTATATCATTAAGCCACTACGAAACAGTCATGCATAGGCCCTTAGTCTTTAGTCGTTATACTTGTAACTTTTGAGTTTTACTTTTTGCTTACTACGACAGTAATTTGGATGCAATTTATTATTTTAGTTAAAAACTAATTATAGTTTTCATTGTATTTTAAGTCACATATATTGAAATAAAGTTTATATTTTGCTAATTTGGAAAAGAGAAAACTGGAAAAGAAGGAAGCACGATCTTAATTCATTATTTATCCTTTTATCATTTTATATCTTATATTTTGTATTCGGTATAATAAAAATCAACATGAGGATGGGATACTTAGCTTGAATATGTTCTAAATTCTTTAAAAAATTGCATGTTTCGTTGTTTCATTGACTTAAAAAAATAGGTTTAGGGGCATTTTTTATTATTCTCGCACAGGGCATCAAAAATCTTAGAACCGGCCCTGCTTATTGATTTATTCTGGTGTAACGCTGGTAATAAATATTTTTGAGTGTTTGGATAAACAACTTATATTGGTGTCAAACGGTAATAAGAAGTTTTTAAAGAAGTTAAACCCTTCTGACTTATAATAAATTGATAAGTGTTTTTGTAGAAAAGCGTAAGTTGTTTCAAATAAGCAATCTCAAACATCCCCTAGATAGGTGTCACCAATTTTACTTGGTAAATTCTCAACCATTAAAATTAGATAGTAAAATTGTTGGTAAATTGTTTCTTATCTGATTACCTTGTTTACTGAGTAAGATTCTTGGTTTGTGACTTTATAAATATTTATCTGGTTAACGTTAAGTTAAATGATCCTTAAAGCAATGGTTGGTAAAATGGGTTGATAAGTTATTGTGTATGGTTAACAAACTGAGAGGACGTTCGGTTAACATAATTTTTTCTGAATATATAGAATTTGTCAAAGAAATTGGAATGTGTAAGGAAATTAAATGAAATGTTATTAGGCTTGACCAAATGTTTGGTCGATAAGAAATGAAATATAATCTGTCAAAGGAATTGAAATCTATATGTTTGGTTTATATATGAATTGGAATAGAGTAATGAAAAATGACAAAAATACCTTTTCTTTCACATATATATATATATATATACTAATTTTTTTAACATAAATAATTTGGACCATGATGTGCTTCTTGTTGATAAACTTTTGTAGTTGATTCAGATTTCATCAAGACACATTTACATCAATAACCCAAACTTTTGTACTTGATTTAGTAACACAAATCAATAACAAAAATTATAATCCACTTCTACATTAGGAACCCAAATCACTAACAAAAATCATAACCCACATCTACATCAAGAACCCAAATCAAGAAGGATAATGGTCAATCGTAACCCTAATTAAGAAGGAGATAGCAGCTTGGTCGATTTTGCTTCAATTGAAAAGGAAAATGGTCGATCGTAAACCTAATCAAAAAGGATACAACAACATGGTCGACTGTGAGCAGAATCGAGAAGGAAAATGGTCGATCATGAAGATGAAGCAAAAGTCGATCGTGAGAAAACGTGAAGCAGAAGTCAGTGGCAAAATCGTGAAGGAAGCAACAACTTGGTCAAGAAGCAAAAGCCAGATCTGAGAAAACATGAATGAGATCACTAAGGTTTTATGATCTAATGAGGTTCATTTTAGAAATCTTGGTTGGAATGGATTTCAATGTCATGTCTTTTATGAAGGAAGAACCAAATCCATGATTGAGGGAATGTGTGGAATTAAATTCCATTACATGGGTTACCAAACGCCTGAATGAAGTTTGGTCAACGGAATTGACATTTCCAATTTCATCATATTTCTTGGGAATCTTGCGAACAAAATGCCCCCGAAGTGTGAGTTGATGAATGTGATATTGCATATAGATGAAGTTAATTTACGGAAAGGAGACATATATATAGCTCCACAAGCAATGCAAAAGTAGTCATATTTGATGCAAACTAGCTGATAAACTAAAAATAAATATAAAATAACTTGAGAGGAAACGTTACACAAAATAAAGACATAAAATAAATCTTCAGAAACTAGCTTATAAGCTAATTCCTGACTAATGAAACCATAATTTTTCAATAATTACAAAAAATAAGTTGATGTAATGTTCACAAACATGATCCTATTTATACATTGAAAATTGTTTATTTTAAAGAAAACATATTTTTTAACTTCACATAAATTGATCATTAAATATATATATATATATATATATATATATATATATATATAC